TGGGAGGTCCAGTCCAACTGATTCCTTCTGGCGCCAGCCCTGATTTGAATGCGGCATATGGCATGAAGGCGTGAGCCTCCCAGTGATTGGTCTGTGTCAGCACGTAGTCCTGTGTGACGACAAATGTAGAGGTTTCCACTAGTTACCACAGCCACAAAGTCAATAAATGCATGAAAACAAAAATTAGCTTTCTGGTCTTAATTTAAGGTTATGTTTAGCAGTGTGGTTAAGATTAGGTTTAAAATCACATTTTAAGAAGATACATTTTAGAAATATGCTGCATGTATTACTTTGTGGCTGTAGTAAATACGACCCAGCATGACTTCACGCTCCAGACCTGACACTGTCTCATTTGAGCAGAACCGGCCATCAGTACAAAATAGTCAAGGAGAAGCACATGGTTGATACGCAGCTGGAGGAGACCACGTGGCTCAAATCTAAACAGCTGCGTATGACTACAAAGGGACGTTCCAATCCATAATTTTTAACCACCTTCGAGCAATTTATTGAGCATTCAATTATATTATTGGACATATCGATACATAATGAAATTATAGTATTGACACCCTGCCTAATAGCTATAGGTGGCATGTAAAATACATGACATAAAAAAATATGTAGTTAGGTTAACATTGGACATGCAAAGCCCAAGGGTATTATTTTTGCAGTTATGTAATTAGAGTCCGATGTTTTTTAATGGATGGACCGGTATGATGAATAAAGAAAGTATATTTTAAATATCAAACGTGTGATTCACAATGCCGATTCGTTTATTCACATTTGAGTACTGCTTGTGGGTCGTCACTAGTTACTACAGCCACACAGTCATAATTATGGCTAAACCCAACCTATTTCTAAAAATGTATCTTCTTAAAATATGTTTTTAAACCTAACTCTAACCTTAGCCACACTGCTTACATTATGCCTAACCTTAAATGATGAAAAACATTGAACTTTTGTTTGCACGTAAATCATACTCCCGAGTGGCGCAGTGGTCTAAGGCACTGCATCTCAGTGCTTGCAGCGTCACTACAGACACCCCCTGGTTCGATTCCAGGCTATCACAACCGGCTATGATAGGGAGTCCCATAGTGCGGCGTACAATTGGCCCAGCGTCGTCCGGGTTTGGCCGGTGAATGCCGTCATTTTAAATCAGAATTTGTTCTTAACTGACTTGCCTAGTTAAATAAAGGTAAAATAAAATACAAATAAATACGCAGGGTCATGGATAGAAGGGATACAACTTTTGTCAAATTAACCTCAAAATAATTTTGCATTTTAGTTCACCCTAACCCTAACCCTTTTCCTAACCTTATCCTAATGATCCTAACCTGCTACGTTAATTCTCCTAACCTACTGCATCAATTCTCCTAACCTGCGACGAAGTGTGAAATCACGTTAATTTGACAAAAACTGGATTCCTTCTAGCCATGACCCACACGCAATTACTATGCAAATTATTGATCTGTAAGTAGATTGCAATGTGGGCGGACTACAGTGCACGCGCAGAGCAGGAAACTAACCCGCGCGTCGCCCTACGTGTCTGTCTTTCTTTCTCAGTGTCACACGGTTTAGGTTGGGCCACGTGAAGACGTCAGTAATCTGTAGTTTTGTGAACCTTATTCTACGCATCCATTTAATCAAAACGCAACACAACCATGGTGAAATTAGCAAAGGTAAGAAACATTCAAATTCATAATGTCATTGATAATTTATTTTATTGACTCAATCGTGTGGTTTGTCAATTGCGTTTTTTCCCCATCCAAAATGAAGTTCCTGCATTGCGAATGACGATAACCCGACATGATAAAATGGCAGAGAAACACGCACGTGCTAGGCTTTAAATTGTACTAGCTACACAATATATTTGATTATTATAGCTATCTCTGATACCAAACTCGTGTTTTATGACGTTAGTGTTAAATAATTAGCTGATGGAGATTAAGTAGTGACTACTTTTCTTCTCGACCCAGATACGATCCGCCATGTTTTCTCACTGCACTCTGTTCCTGCAGGTCGGCCCAAAATGGCCATACATGCACGTTCGTGAATCAATCATGGTCTTTCATACCCTGTCGGATGGCTTGTTAACTACCTAGTTAAATGGCTGTTGTTTATTAAATGTGTATGTAATGAAGTTGAGAATCTTTGTTTTACAGTAAGTTAGTACATTTCAGCTTAAAGCCAGTTTCACTCCTGAAACGCAATGTGCTGCTACACGTTTAGCTAATGCTAGCCTAGGAAAACATGTTTGAGGTTGTATTGGTCTGTTTTGTCGTGTAAATGTTCAAGATTACCAGCAAAATGCCTTTCAAACAGGGCATATTACTAGCCAACAACGTGGCGTCGACACAAGCCGATTTGGTATAATAGCAAACATGGTTAGCAAATTAACGTTAGCAGCTAGCTAGCGCTGTACTTTCGAGCTCCACGTGTGTTGTGAGCCTGCCCCCAAAAGCCACAGGAGGTGCATGCTCCAGAGTCGGGAAGTTACAAGCCAAGTCTAGCCAAGCGTTAATAAGTGGCATGTATAATAAATGGCCAAAAGTATGAGGACACCTGCTCGTGGAACATCTCATCCCAAAATCATGGGCATTAATATGGAGTTGGTTCCCCCTTTGCTGCTAGAACAGACTCCGCTCTTCTGGGAAGGCTTTCCGCTAGATGTTGGAACACTGTGGGGACTTGCTTCCATTCAGCCACAAGCACATTTGTGAGGTCGGGCACTGATGTTGGACGATTAGGCCTGGCTCGCAGTCGGTGTTGAAATTCATCCCAAAGGTGTCCAATGGGGTTGAGGTCAGGGCTCTGCAGGCCAGTCAAGTTCTTCCACACTGATCTCGACAAACCATTTCTGTATGTGCCTCTCTTTCTGCACAGGGGCAATGTCATGCTGAAACAGGAAAGGGCCTTCCCCAAACTGTTGCCACAAAGTTGGAAGCACAGATTCGTCTAGAATGTCATTTGAATGCTGTAGCGTTAAGATTTCCCTTCTCTAGAACTAAGGGCCTAACGCGAACCATGAAAAACAGCGCCAGACTATTATTCCTCCTCCAACAAATGTTAGTTGTCAATGCATTGGGGCAGGTAGCGTTCTCCTGGCATCCGCCAAACCCAGATTCGTCCATCGGACTGCCAGATAAAGCGTGATTAATCACTCTAGAGAACGCGTTTCCACTGCTCCAATGGCGGTGAGCTTTACACCACTCAGCCGACGCTTGGCATTGCGCATGGTGATCTTAGGCTTGTTTGCGGCTGCTCGGCCATGGAAACCCATTTCATGAAGCTCCCGATGAACAGTTCTTGTGCTTTTGGGACTCTGTAATGGGTGTTGCAACCGAGTTTTGTGAGCTGACTTGTTGGAAAGGTGCCACGTTGAAATTCACTGAGCTCTTCAGTAAGGCCAATCTATTGAAAATGTTTGTCTATGGAGATTGCATGGTGGCATGCTCGATTTTTATACACCTGTCAGCAACGGGTGTGGCTGAAATAGCCGAATACACTCATTTGAAGGGCCATGTAGTGTATGTCCACCTACTTTTGGCCATGTAGTGTATATGCCATTTATGAATGGTTTTGCACATTTGCCCTAAATTGTCACTATTAAACCATCTGCAGGGTCAAACAACCGGATACATCTGGTTTTCAGGGGGAACAGGAAAGAGCTTGTGACAGGATTAGTGATTTTTGCGAACCAGATACTTTTGAGGAGATGGGGGAAATTCCATTGGAATTGTATTAAAGGTCCCAGTACAGTCATTCTGAAAAGTACTTTTTCACTCATGGGTAACTACCAGGAAGTTTGAAAAGACAGGCTGTGGGCGGGGAGCTTATATTCATGAGGTCGTCTCGACTGACAAGTTTTTTGAAACGCGTGTGTCAAGCAACTTGAATGCGGTGTTCCAGTTTTAAAATAATCTCAAGCAAATTTGAAGATACACAAAGCAACTCAACAGCATTGAAACTGCATCAATGATATCATTAAAAAAAATATATATACGCCTCCTGTTTGCCATGTCTCTTGTAATGCAGTTCACAGCAGCACTGATGGATGTATTGACTTGACAACTGTGTCAGTTTTGAACGACCCCCCCCCCCCCCCCCAGCTGACACCGATGACAGGGGAAACATAACTATCTTTGCCATAGATGAATAGGGTCAACTTTTCATTATATTTGCTGACACCCTACAGTCAAATTTTGGCACCAGTAAAGTAGCTATATAAACCACACCACTCTGCAAATGCATCTTCTCTGATTTTGTTTACAATGAGGTGCTTATTTAAATTGGTATGAGAATATCATGTTACCATTGGTGATTTAAAATGAGTTAAGGGGATGTCATCTTGTCACCTTAATAATGAATCAAAGTGTTTGACATGGGGGAGGGGACTAGTAACTTTAAGATATAACTTTATCAATGTAGAAGCAAGTCAATTTTCATACTTTGATCTGATTTCTAGGGCTATCCCTGACAAAACAAATCTTGGTCGACCTAGTCTTCTGTTCTTTCGACTGGTCAACATTTCTAAATGTATTTGTCCATTCCAACTATATGTAGGCTACTGAGCTTGTCTGACGCTTTAAGCACACTGTGGATAAATAATTAAGACACATGACTCAAGGGAGTCGAACAGAGCAGATCCTATTAAAACGAGAGTATCAATTAACATGATTGTGGAAAATGTATTCTCCGTTTCTGACTAGACAGCTAGCACATGACAGTGTGGCTAAAATGCTGCTAGTGGTACAGTGCAGAAGAGAACCTCCCACGACTTTCCTTTTTCTTCTCTCGTCAGGACCAGAAGGAGAGCAACGCCGCTCAGGCCAAATAAATGTTAGGGTACTGGCTAACCTAGCTGGGAGAGTTAAGATTTTACCTAGCTAACTTCACGTGTCCATAGCAAGTCATTTTGCTTTCAGTTGTAGCTACTGAAACACATTTGACAATTGCTACCCAGTTGTAATTTTTATATACATAACTTACTCCTTTTTAATGTTGAACCTGCTTTTGTAATCTTCACAGGCAGCAAAGAAACAAGCTAACCCCAAGAAAAAGGCCCCACCGCCTCCAAAAGAGGTGGAAGAGGAATCCAGTGAAGAAGAAAGCGATGATGAGGTAAGACTGACTGACCACTACTGTGGTCAAGATAAAGGACACGTAAAAAAAACGGACTTGTTTTGTTAATATCCATTATTTTCCAGCCCCCACCAAAAGCAGTAGCCAAGAAGGCCGTTGCGCCAGCACCTAAAGCAGCTAAAAATGGCAAAGCAGCAAAAAAAGCAGAAAGTGAAGAGGAGGATGATGACTCTGGTAAGAACCTACTTTGACAGACCTACATTTTACATTTGCAAAACTTCGTAAAAAAAAAAAATTGTAGTTAATATTAATTTAAGGTCTCACTCAGCAGCATTAAACACTTCCCTTTTATTATTCAGTTTATTGAAATTGCATTATTTGTACAGCTATTTACGTACCATCAAAGATGGCAAATTTACTGAAGAAAAATTTAAAACACAACTATTTCAGCCACACCGGTTGCTGACAGGCCGCACACAAGCCTAAGATCACCAAGCGCAATGCCAAGTGTCGGCTGGAGTGGTGTAAAGCTCACCGCTATTGGACTCTGGAGCAGTGGAAACACGTTCTCTGGAGTGATGAATCACTCTTCACCATCTAGCAGTCCGACGGACAAATCTGGGTTTGGCGAATGCCAGGTCAACGCTACCAGCCCCAATGCATAGTGTCAACTGTAACGTTTGGTGGAGGAGGAATAATAGTCTGGGGCTGTGTTTTCATGGTTCAGGTTAGGCCCTTAGTTCTAGTGAAGGGAATCTTAACTATACAGCATACAATGACATTCTAGACGAGTCTGTGCTTCCAACTTTGTGGCAACAGGTTGGGGAAGGCCCTTTCCTGTTTCAGCATGACAATTCCCCCGTGCTCAAAGCGAGTTGCATACAGAAATGGTTTGTCGATCGGTGTGGAAGAACTTGACTGGCCTGCACAGAGCCCTGACCTCAACCCCATCGGACACCTTTGGGATGAATTGGAACGCCGACTGCAAACCAGGCCTAATTGCCCAAAATCAGTGCCCGACCTCACTATTGCGCTTGTGGCTGAATGGAAACAATTCTCTGCAGCAATGTTACAACATCTAGTGGAAAGCCTTCCCAGAAGAGTGGAGGCTATTATAGCAGGAAAGGGGGAACCAATTCCATATTAATGCCCGTGATTTTGCAATGAGATGTTCTACAAGCGGGTGTCCACATACTTTCCTTACCTTAGAAAAAATGTAGGGGCGTGGATCAGAAACAGTCAGGATCATGTGACTACCATTTGCCTCATGCAACATCTCCTTCGCGTAGAGTTGACCAGGCTGTTGATTTTGGCTTGTGGATATGTTGTCCCACTCCTCTTCAATGGCTGTGCGAAGTTGCTGGATTTTTACGGTAACTGGAATCTGCTGTTTTACCCGTCGATCCAGACCATCCCAAACATGTCAATGGGTGACATGTCTGAGTATGCAGGCCATGGAAGAACATGGACATTTTCAGCTTCCAGGAATTGTGTAGAGATCTTTGCAACATGGGGCCGTGCATTATGCTGAAACATGAGGTGATGGCGGAGGATAAATGGCACGGCAATGGGCCTCAGGATCTCGTCATGGTATCTTTTTTTCATTGAAATTGGCATCGATAAAATGCAATTGTGTTGGTTGTCCGTAGCCCATACCATAACCTCGCCGCCACCATGGGGCACTGTTCACAATGTTGACATCAGCAAACCGCTCGCCCACACGACGCTATACACGTGGTCTGCAGTTGAGGTAGGTTGGATGTACTGCCAAATTGTCTAAAATGAGTTTGGAGGTGGTTATGGTAGAGAAATGAACATTTATCTCTCTGGCAACAGCTCTAGTGGACATTCCTGCAGTCAGCATGCCAATTGAACACTCCCTCAACTTAAGACATCTGTCATTGTGTTGTGACAACTGCTCATTTTAGTGGCCTTTTATTGTCCCCAGCACAAGGTGCACCTGTGTAATGATCATGCTGTTTAATCAGCTTCTTGATATGCCTCACCTGTCAGGTGGATGGATTATCTTGGCAAAGAAGAAATGCTCACTAACAGGGATGTGTGCACAACATTTGAGAGAAATAAGCATTTTGTGCATATGGAAAATATCTGGTATCTTTCATTTCAGCTCATGAAAAATGGGACCAACACTACATGTTGCCTTTATATTTTTGTTCAGTGTATGATGTTCTGGTCAATGAAATTACCCTGATCCTTCTTACCATATCAGAAGAAGAGTCTGAGGAAGCCCCCCCACCCAAGAAGGCCCCAGCCAAAGCCACACCAGCTAAAAAAGCCCCAGCCAAGGCAGAGGAGTCTGACGACGATGATGATGGTATGTCAGCTTTTTAGTGGATACAACATGAATGTGACCGGACAATAAACAATGCATGGGGGTTGTGGACATATGTCTTTAATGGTTTGAAAGATGATAAATAGACCTGACTACTAGTAACCAGGATCCCCCTCCATTTCTTGGCACACCTGTAGTTGCTCAGTACTCATGTGTGATTTGTACGGAGGTAGAACAAAGCCAGTGCTATGTCTTCGGTACCAGTGTGTGTTTATAGTCTGCTGGTCCTATCCTCAATCGCTGGCACACTTGAAAATACGCAATGGGGCCTCATCTTCAGGTAGGTTTACCAACTATACTGCAAACGTTCATGGTTGTTACTCTTTTGTCTGTAGATGATGAATCGGAGGAGGAGACCCCACCTCCCAAGAAGGCAGCTGCTAAGCCCTCCATGAAGGTCACCGCAGCCAAGGAGGAGTCTGATGAGGATGATGGGGATGGTAAGGATGGGGGCACACTGCCTATCGTAAGCATTGTGCGTAACATGATGACCAAACCGGCCACATTGCGTGCGTGAGTGTTGCAAAATGTACATGCGTGTTATTCAACCATTTAATCCAAACTGCTCGCGGGCATCTGCGTAATGGGCGTTAAAATAGAACTTGGTTCTATTTTAGACGTGCTGCAAATCCGCCTCTCCCGTCTACTCATTGAGTTTTATGAGCATATATCCACGTGGGTGATTTGACAGATGAACGAGGTCCACACGCCAGTCCAGTTGGTGGTGGTAATGCACCTAAAGGTTGGTTGCCAACCACCATATAACATCCACAGAAGAACGCTGAACGAGGAGAGTTTTCTTTGATTAAACTAAAAACGAACTTTCCTTTTTATCTGTGGATGAATTGAGTAGAGAACACATGATTTTGTATGCCTCTAAATGGTCAAAATGCTACAAAGTAAAACTAAACGGACCATATGCATTTCAGGTAAATTAACAACCCAATGTTTATCTCCCAGGACAAATTAGCGAGCAACAGCAAGCTAGCGAAATGTCCATTAACGTTTCTTGTGTATTTCGACCTGTCCCCAAATGAATATGGTTGTTTTTTGTTTTTAACCTGCGTGTCATGAAAGCGTCTGGTGGGGAAAGACAAAATCAACATGCAGACGCATGTGCGGAGCCAGTTTGGTCAGCATGTAAATCTTGTGTCTAAATAATGGGTGGCATGTAAAATCATGGTAGTACTTTAAATGTGGTACAGGCCGCGCTTGCAGATGGATATAGTGGTCAGCTGAGCATGCACTTGATCAACAAGGGACTTAAGTGACAAATACATTCAGTATTATTTGATCTGATGTACGCTATTGCTGGTCAGTAAATTACCTATAGTTATTGATACTCTGAGACTAAAGACATGTCATGCCTTCCAGACTCTGAAGAAGAGGAGATGGACACCACCACAGCAAAAGCAAAGAAAGCAGGCATGGTCAAGGCTAAGGAGGAGTCTGATGAAGAGGATGATTCCAGTGAGGAAGATGGTAAGTACAATTGTGACTACTGTCTACTATCTTTATACTTTCGTTTGTCATTTATTTGGCGAAAGGGTTGACTTGGGCATGGACTAATGGTGTGTTTTAAGACAACTTGTAACCTCCACGTTTTTTGCATATTGGTTGTTTCTGATGTGTACCAAGTGGGGAAACTGAGCTCATCTTTCAGCGTTTCCGAGTTGTCTTCAGTGCTGCATCAGGCTGCCATTTTGTCCTGTCATTGCAGCGTGATGTTATTTCCCCTAGCCCATGCCTCAATATTTTGGTGTTTGTATATCAAAGGGGAAATGGCTTGGCCTTGCTTTTGGCTTTGGGATTGAAATGTATCAAGGCCATATTTTTATCAGGACCAGTTATGATGCAAAACATTTCTGACAGTGAGGTTTTCAAAGATGGTCAAGTACTGAACTGGTCTATACCGAAGAGCAATTGACCCCCTCACCGCTGTCATTTGGTAAAGGTTTCTGGGTCCTAAGCAGGCTGTTTTGTTCCACAGAGGCCCCAGCAACTCCTGCAAAGAGGAAGGCGGACAACAAAAACGAGACTCCACTTGCCAAAAAGGCCAAATCAGAAGGCGAAGGTAGGCCTCAAATCCCAGCTTGTGCAACACTAGTTCAAACACAGAACCACAGCACGCATGAACAAGGGACTTAATACTGACTCATTTGATGTCACCTTTATATTATCCTGTTAAAATACACTGTACAAAACATTAAGAACACCTGCTTTTTCCATGTTATAGACTATCCAGGTGAAAGCTATGAACCCTTATTGATGTCACTTGTTAAATCCACTTCAGTCAGTGTAGATGACTGGGAGGAGACGGGTTAAAGGATTAAGCCTTGAGACAATTGAGACATGGATTATGTACGTATGCCATTCAGAGGGTGAATGGGCAAGACAAAAATGTAAGTGCCTTTGAACGGGGTATGGTAGTAGGTGCCAGGCGCACCGGTTTGTGTCAAGAACTGCAACACTGCTGGGATTTTCACGCTCAACAGTTTCTTGTGTGTATCAAGAATGGTCCACCACCCAAAGGACATCCAGCCAATTTGAGACAACTGTGGGAAGCATGGGCCAGTATCCCTGTGGAACGCTTTCGACACCTTGAAGAGTCCATGCCCCGACGAATTGACTGTTCTGAGAGTAAAGGGGGTGGGGTGCAACTCAATTAGGAAGGTGTTCTTAATGTTTTGTACACTCAGTGTATGTTGTCATTGACAATTTCAAATGTTACATAATTTAGAAATGTTTTTAACCCCCCCCCCCCTCCCCCAGAAACATTTTGTCTATTTGTCGGCAACCTGAACTCAAACAAGGACTTTGATGAAATCAAAGACGCTTTGGCAGCTTTCTTCTCAAAGAAGAACCTTGAAGTTCAGGACGTGAGACTTGGTGCATCAAAGTAAGTGATGGTGGTCTCCTACGTTATGAGCCATTTTGGACTTCTGCTGGTCCTATCCTCAATCACTGGCAAACTTGAAAAAGACGAGGCAGCAATGCTGAATTTATGGGTTTTATATGCAGTCTTCTAATGGATACCTTTAACTTTCGCATCAGGAAATTTGGCTACGTAGACTTTTCCTCAGCACAGGACATGCAGACGGCCATGGAGTCATGCAATGGCAAGAAGTTCATGGGACAGGAGTTGAAACTGGACAAAGCCCGCAGCAAAGAGAACTCCCAGGAGGACAAGAAAGGTGAGGGCCTCCCTGCAGACAGTATTATTATAATGTACTATCACAACGTGCTCTTTGTAATTGTCGTAAGAATATACTTGCTCACTGTCTTGTATCGCGAAACAGATAGGGACGCACGGACATTGTTTGTGAAGAACCTGCCCTTTTCGGCCACGCAAGATGACCTGAGGGAAGTGTTTGCGGATGCCGTTGAAATCAGAATACCCCCAGGCCAGGACGGTTCCAACAGAGGGTGAGGACATGTTTCTTTCCTGGTTAGAATGTATTTGCGTATTGTATCTGTTTACCTCTGATTGGTAAAAAGAACCATGCTGCATTATTTCCCCCCTCACAGCATTGCTTACATCGAGTTCAAGACAGAGGCCATTGCAGAGAAGATGCTAACGGAGGCCCAAGGCGCCGACGTTCAGGGACGCTCCATCATGGTTGACTACACAGGTGACAAGAGCCAGAAAGGTGCAAGAACACCAGGTAAGAAGCACCGACTAGGTTGGCAATTTTATTTTGTCAATCCGGACCAGTCGTGATGCCAACTTTTCTTCCTGAAACACGGAAGATTTCAAAGATAGTCAAGTGCTGAACTACTGGTTGCTGCAAAAGCTACTTTCGTAGTGCTAATGCACCCCAACATCCGCGCTGACTACTTGTCTGCCTCTTTCTTTCCTCAGCCCAGGCAGCTGCTGAAAGCAAGACCCTCATTGTCAACAACCTGGCCTACAGCGTGACAGAAGACTCCCTCCAGAGCGCATTCGAGGGGGCAGTTTCCATCAGAGTACCACAGAACAACGGCAGACCCAAAGGGTTAGTGTGGGTGGGATTTCACATTGCACAGCTGCATCACCCTAATTTCTTAACAGATTAGTTTGGGGCTTATGGCAAACCGTGGTGTCTAGATCTCTATCGGATGTGACCTCATGGGTGGGTCAGACCGCATCCCCAGGGCTTCTCATGAGCTCCTTGTCCAATCAGTGGCGGCGTATAGATTTGCACGAAGTAGAGCCAAATCACAGGTTGAACAGGCACCTCCAAATGGGTGTTGCCCATGTCCGCTGTGAAACAATTCAACATTTACATTTTAGTCATTTAGCAGATTCTCTTATCCAGAGCGACTTACAGTTAGTGCCTTCACCTTAAGATAGCTTTGTGGGACAACCACATACAGTGGGGAGAACAAGTATTTGATACACTGCCGATTTTGCATGTTTTTCTACTTACAAAGCATGTAGAGGTCTGTCATTTTTATCATAGGTACACTTCAACTGTGAGACGGAATCTAAAACAAAAATCCAGAAAATCACATTGTATGATTTTTAAGTAATTGATTTGCATTTTATTGCATGACATAAGTATTTGATCACCTACCAACCAGTAAGAATTCCGGCTCTCACAGACCTGTTAGTTTTTCTTTAAGAAGCCCTCCTGTTCTCCACTCATTACCTGTATTAACTGCACCTGTTTGAACTCGTTACCTGTATAAAAGACACCTGTCCACACACTCAATCAAACAGACTCCAACCTCTCCACAATGGCCAAGACCAGAGAGCTGTGTAAGGACATCAGGGATAAAATTGTAGACCTGCACAAGGCTGGGATGGGCTACAGGACAATAGGCAAGCAGCTTGGTGAGAAGGCAACAACTGTTGGCGCAATTATTAGAAAATGGAAGAAGTTCAAGATGACGGTCAATCACCCTCGGTCTGGGGCTCCATGCAAGATCTCACCTCGTGGGGCATCAATGATCATGAGGAAGTTGAGGGATCAGCCCAGAACTACACGGCAGGACCTGGTCAATGACCTGAAGAGAGCTTGCACCACAGTCTCAAAGAGAACCATTAGTAACACACTACGCCGTCATGGATTAAAATCCTGCAGCGCACGCAAGGTCCCCCTGCTCAAGCCAGCGCATGTCCAATCCCGTCTGAAGTTTGCCAATGACCATCTGGATGATCCAGAGGAGGAATGGGAGAAGGTCATGTGGTCTGATGAGACAAAAATATAGCTTTTTGGTCTAAATTCCACTCGCTGTGTTTGGAGGAAGAAGGATGAGTACAACCCCAAGAACACCATCCCAACCGTGAATCATGGAGGTGGAAACATCATTCTTTGGGCATGCTTTTCTGCAAAGGGGACAGGACGACTGCACCGTATTGAGGGGAGGATGGATGGGGCCATGTATCGCGAGATCTTGGCCAACAACCTCCTTCCCTCAGTAAGAGCATTGAAGATGGGTCGTGGCTGGGTCTTCCAGCAGGACAACGACCCGAAACACACAGCCAGGGCAACTAAGGAGTGGCTCCGTAAGAAGTATCTCAAGGTCCTGGAGTGGCCTAGCCAGTCTCCAGACCTGAACCCAATAGAAAATCTTTGGAGGGAGCTGAAAGTCCGTATTGCCCAGCGACAGCCCCGAAACCTGAAGGATCTGGAGAAGGTCTGTATGGAGGAGTGGGCCAAAATCCCTGCTGCAGTGTGTGCAAACCTGGTCAAGACCTACAGGAAACGTATGATCTCTATAATTGCAAACACAAGTTTCTGTACCAAATATTAAGTTCTGCTTTTCTAATGTATCAAATACTTATGTCATGCAATAAACTGCAAATTAATTACTTAAAAATCATACAATGTGACTTTCTGGATTTTTGTTTTAGATTCCATTTCTCACAGTTGAAGTGTACCTATGATAAAAATTACAGACCTCTACATGCTTTGTAAGTAGGAAAACCTGCAAAATCGGCAGTGTATCAAATACTTGTTCTCCCCACTTTATAACAGGCATAGAAAGTACATTTTTCCTCTACTGTGGCTATCAGTAGAGTAAGAGCTAGAAGGGAGGATCAAGTGCTGGGTACGTTTTTTGGGGGGGGGGGGTTGAGGTGAGATTGTCGAGGAGGATTATTTAAGATACTGTTTGAAGAGGTAGGCTTTCAGATGTTTTCGGAAGATGGGCAGGGACTCTGTTGTTCTAGCTTCAGGGGGATGCTGGCCCTTCCATTGGGGTGCCAGAACAGAGAAGAGCTTGGACTGGGCTGAGCGGGTGCTGCCCTCAAGGAGGGGTGGGTGGGCAAAGATACCTGAGGTGGCAGAACTGAGTGCTTGGGTTGAGGTGTAGGTTTTGAGCATAGCCTGAAGGTAGTTAGGGGCAGTTCCTCTTGCTGTTCTGTAGGTAAGCACCATGGTCTTGTAGTGGATGCGAGCTTTGACTGGAAGCCAGTGGAGTGTGTGTGGAGGAGCAGGGTGACATGAGAACTTGGAAAGGTTGAAAACCAGGCGTGCTGCATCGTTCTGGATAAGTTGCAGGGGTTTGATGGCACAAGTGGGGAGCCCAGCTAACAGCGAGTTTCAGTAGTCCACACAGCAGAAGACAAGTGCCTTGATTAGGACCTGCATCGCTTCCTGTGTGAGGTAGGGTCATACTCTACGGATGTTGTAGCGCATGAAGCTGCAGGAGCGGGTTACTGCGTTGTTTGCAGAGAACGACAGGGTGTTGTCCAGGATCACGCCAAGTTTCTTTGCACTCTGGGAGAGCGACACTGTGGAGTTGTCAACCGTGATGGAGAGGTCTTCGAGCAGGCAGGCCTTCCCCGGGAGGAAGAGCAGTTCAGTCTTGTCGAGTTTGAGCTTGAGGGGGTGGACTGACATCCAAGTTGAGATATCTGCCAGGCACGCAAATGCGTGTCGCCACCTGGGTGTCAGAAGGGGGGGGGGGGGGAGAAAAATAGTGTCATCCACATAGCAATGATAGGAGAGACCATGTGAGGATATGACGGAGCCGTGTGACTTGGTGTATAGAGAGAAGAGAGGGCCTAGAACCGAGCCCTAGGGGACACCAGTAGTGAGAGTATGTGGTGCCGACAGACCTCTCCACGTCACCTGGTAGGCCTTCCTCAATTTTCGCTCAGCTGCCCGCAGCCCTGTTCTGTAAGCTCGCAATGAGTCACTCAGCCACAGAGCAGGAGAGGAGGGCTGAGCCGGCCAGGAGGAAAGGGGACCGTGCAAGTCATAGGATGTGGAAAGGGAGGAGTAGGGTCGACAAGGCAGAATCAGAAGACAGGAGGGAGAAGGATTTAGGAAAAGAGAGATGATAGAAGAGAGTAGTGGGAGAGCGAAGATTGTGACTGCGCATGACCATCTGTGTAGGGGCTGAGTGGTTAGGGTTGGAGGAAAGGGAGACAGAAAGGGAAACCTAGGGGGGTTGCAGTGAGATTAGACGAGCAGCCTCTAGTAAAGATGAGGTCAAGCGTATTGCCTGCCTTGTGAGTTTGAGGGGATTGGGAAAGGGTGAGGTCAAAAGAGGCAAGGAGGGGAAAGAGTTGGAACGAAATGAATCGAAGGCAGACGTCGAGAGGTTGAACTCGCCAAGTACGAAGAGAGGTGAGGCGTCGTCAGGAAATGAGTTTTTAAAGGTGTCAAGCTCATTGAGGAACTCTCCAAGGGCACCTGGTGGGGGATTAGATGACAATGTTAAGCTTGAGTGGACAAGTGACAGCATAGAATTCAAATGAGGAGATGGACAGGTGAGCAAGGGAGAAAAGAGAATCTCCACTTGGAAGAAATGAGTAGACCTATGCCACCACCGCGACGACCAGATGCTGTCGGACTGAGAGAAAACATAGTCCGATGAAGAAAGAACAGCTGCAGTAGCAGTGTTATCTGGGGTGATCCATGTCTCCATCAGGGCCAAAAAGTCAAGGGACTGAAGGGCAGCATAGGCTGAGATTAACTCATCGTTCTTGACCGCAGATTGTCAATTCCTAACGATGCCTGAGACCTGGAATTCCACATGGGTTGTGTGCGTAGGGTACACTCAATTTAAAGGGTTGCAGCCAAGGGGTGGGGAGCATCTGTAAAGCCTACAGGGAGAGGTGTGAAAAGGTATAGAAAACAACACCGTTGACAAATCTACAATAGAGCAAAATGAGAATCTGTAAATAACTAGGTGAGATACTCAAGTGAGACATCAGTTAACATACCCTCCCCACCACCACCAAGTGTAAGTCTTGTTCCTAAAACTATTTGTCTATCACTTGTGCAGGTTTGCCTTTGTGGAGTTTGAGAGCACGGAGGCGGCTAAGGAGGCGCTGGACAACCTGAATGGCACAGAGATTGAGGGCAGGCAAATCCGGTTAGAGTACAGCCAGAACAGTGGAGGCAGAGACGCCGGAGGCAGAGGAGGATCCGGTAGGTTTCATTGCCTTAACTCAGCACACAAGTGATGGTGGTTAGATGCGAACCTTCTCCATTTTGTGCCGCAGTCTACAGTTGTAGACTGTTGTAAATAACAAAGCCAGTTGGTTTTCTTGGCTCTCCTGTATGATTGTAACATTCATGATTTTCTTTTTCCAGGAGGTCCAACAAAAACACTGTTTGTCAGAGGGCTTTCTGAGGACACCACAGACCAATCACTCAGAGATGCATTCGAGGGCGCCACTGGAGCCAGAGTGGTCACAGACCGTGACACAGGCAATTCTAAATGGTAAAGGGTGTTGAAACCCTTCATACTACTGTCCTTTGACCTCTTCTCATGAGCTCCACCAAGTGGAGCCAAATCAGTCAAATGGGCACCTACCTTGACCTCAGTGGTAGTTTGCCCATGTCTGTTGTGAAACATAATGACTTGATAGTAGCAATATGCCTTTAGATGTTGCAAATACATTTTGCTTGTCTAAGGTACAGCATCACCATTTCATGTTCATAGGCTTTCTGCAGACATGCAATTCCATTTCCAAGTATCCTCTCTTAATTTATTTTCCTTTCCTGCTCTTCCAGCTTTGGCTTCGTCGACTTTGACAGTGAGAACGACTGCAAGGCGGCCAAAGAGGCCATGGTGGGCGGCGAGATTGATGGCAGCAGCGTCAACCTGGACTACGCCAAGCCCAAGGGCGACAGCGGTGGCTTCCGTGGGGGTCGGGGAGGCTTCGGCGGTGGCAGGGGAGGTCGCGGCGGTGGATTTGGCCGTGGCGGTGGTTTCGGCGGTGGCAGGGGAGGTCGCGGCGGTGGCTTCAGGGGGGGTAGAGGAGGTGACCGTGGAGGTGGACGTGGTGGGTTTAGAGGTGAGATTCAGTGTTTGGCTCATGCAAAGTAGTGTTGTGTAGCGTAGCCCCTGTTTGGACCAGATATGATACTTTTTACTGTGACGTAGGTCCTGTTTATAGTCAATAGAAGAAGCACTGGCAGCGATTTTTCATGCCTTAGTGACAAATTAATTTGCTGCATTCAAAGGATTTCCGAGGCAATATCAAAAATTTATTTTATTTTAATGCAAATATTCTCATCTGCGTTATTCCACCAGTGGTGTTTCCACCAAACTGACTTGTTGCAGATAAAAATCAGTGCGTGATAACGTGCACACAATGTACTTTTTCGCTTACATTTTCATATACCAAAATGAAAATGTAACTATCGATAGTTTGGTCACAAACTGTTGTGTTAAATAGCAAATGTGCATACTCTGTTCTTGGCACGTGCGCTCTAGCCAGCAGCTCGCAGAGACAGTGCATGTAGGCTGTGCGTGTATTGGGTAGGCTACATGATGAGATTATGGATAAGAGCGAGAATATTTTTTTTTTGTCAAACTGCAGTGAAGCATCAATTGTCACTATAATTAGACCCTCTATATTTATTTGAAAGGGGCATCAAGCTCATCGCAGTGCACTTCCACCACCCTGTGAAGTTCATAACTTATTTCATCTGTATGCTGCTTAACTGCATTGCCTCACAAGTTTAATGAATTATGATGGTTATTATATCATTATTTGCGCAATAACGCTGTTCCACCGCCATTTCTTACATAATACATTTTACCACAATGTCGAACACAGTCAGCATTTATAAAATTGTACCGACACTTTGTTTACATCACAGCGGTCTCTTTTTTATATACTGAACAAAAATATAAATGCAACAATTTCAATGATTTTACCGAGTTACAGTTCATATAAGGAAATCAGTCAATTGGAATAAATCTAATCTATGGATTTCACATGACTGGGAATATGGATATGCATCTGTTGGTCACAGATACCTTAAAAGAAATGGGCCTCAGGATCTCGTCACGGTATTTTTGTGCATTCAAATTGCCATTGATAAAATGCATTTGTGTTCGTTGTCCGTAGCTTATGCCTGCCCATACCATAGCCCCACCGCCACCATCGGGCACTCTGGTCACAACATTGACATCAGCAAACCGCTCGACCACACGACGCCATACACATGCGCAACATTTGAGAAAATGAGCTTTTTGTGCAGATGGATAATTTCGGGGATATTTCTGTTCTTGAAACATGGGGACCAACACTTAAGATGTTGTTTTCCTTTTTTTTCTCCAGTGTGTGTGTACAGTGCCTTCAGAAAGTATTCACACTCCTTGACTTTTTCAACATTTTGTTACAGCCTGAATTTTAAATGGATTTCATTTTAGGGATTTCACCATGAGGCCAATGGTGACTTTAAAACAGCGTTAACTGGCTGTGATAGGAGAACTGAGGATGGATCAATAATATGCCATTTAGCAGACGCTTTTATCCAAAGCGACTTAGTCATGCGTGCATACATATTATTTTTTGTTTATGGGTGGTCCCGGGGATCGAACCCACTACCTTGGCGTTACAAGCGCCGTGCTCTACCAGCGGAGCTACAGAGGACCACAACATTGTAGTTACTCCACAATACTAACCTAATTGACAGAGTGAAAAGGAGGCCTGTACAGAATAATACTATTCCATAACATGCATCCTGTTTGCAACAAGGCACTAAAGTAATACTGCAAAAAATGTGGCAAAGCAAATTGACTTTTCGTCTTGAATACAAAGTGTTTTGTTTGGGGCAAATCCAATACAACACATTACTGAGTACCACTCCACATTTTCAAGCATAGTGGTGGCTGCATCATGTTATGGGTATGCTTGTAATCGTTAAGGACAGGAGTTATACAGGGTAGAAAATGTAATGGAGCGAAGCACAGGCAAAATCCTATCGAGAACCTGGTTCAGTCTGCTTTCCACCAGACACTGAGATTAATTCACCTTTCAGTAGGACATTAACCTAAAACACAAGGCCAAATATACACGAGTTGCTTACCAAGACCGTGAATGTTCCTGAGTGGCCAAGCTACATTTCTGACTTCAATCTGCTTGAACATGAATGGCAAGACCTGAACATGTTTTAAAAGAATGGGCAAATGTTGAACAATCCAGGTGTGGAACGCTCTTAGAGACTTACCCAGAAAGACACAGCTTTAATCGATGCCAAAGGTGGTTCCACGAAGTATTGACTCAGGGGAGTGAATACATTCCTAAAAACATGTTTTCACTTTGTCATTATGGGGTATTGTGTATAGATGGGTGAGACATTTTTTAATCCATTTTGAATTTGGGCTTTAACACATTAATAAATAATAAGTCAAGGGGTATTAATACTTTCTGAAGGCACTATGTATGCGTGCGTGTGTGTCTGACTTTATTCGCATAAACTGTGTATGGGAATGTTGTTATTCACTGACTGAGCATGATTTATTTAATTTTTTCTAGGTGGAAGAGGTGGCGGATTCGGGGACAAGCCCCAGGGCAAGAAGATCAAGTTTGACGATTAAAATCCCGGTCTATTTTACTATTTTGAAAAGACTCCGTCTTATCACCATACCTATATGCTGGGAGAGCCTTTTGGACATTTCAGAAAGCTGCATTGATATAACTAATGGGTTCATTAGGCCCCCCCAATCACCAAAACGTATCTTCACCTCAGCTTGAGAGCTGCCTGTGAGTTTTGAAATGTCCCTACTGCCCACCTGCATTATCCATAAGTTTTAGTTTTTCCAAAGGAGGAAAATGGAATGTCTGGCAATCCTGTTTGCTGTGGGGAAGAAAAAAGAAGAAAAAAAACCTGTTGGTTCAGGTACATATTGTACATTCAACAATTTGTATTTCATTTGACCTTTTGTAAAAAGTGCTGTATCCTTATGTTTTATTTTGTTATTTTAGTTTGCTCTAGGTGCAAAACTTTGACCGTACATTTGCAAGGAATATTGTAATGGATGGAAAGATTAAATCAGAGCCGACGTCTGGTAAACTGGTGTACTGGCATGTTTTGGGTGGGGTACAGTCAATGTCTTACGAGTCAGAGGACTAGAGGCCTCAAAAGAATAACGTTTAAAAGTGTAACATATATTACATTTGTAGTGCAATGACTAATCTTGCCATTTTAAAATCTGTTTTCACAAATGTGATAATTGAATAAACTAAGTGATGTTTTTTAAGTATTTTGTCCATTACTTTCATATAATAGACTGGCGTTTCCAAAGAATAATGGGACATTAATAAAGTCTCCACACTTTCAATGGCTGAAGAGAAGCCATTTGCTAAAGTGAGGCATGGATGAGATCCTACTGGGAGATAAGAGGGGAGGATTCTGTAATAATAATAATAATATGCCATTTAGCAGACGCTTTTATCCTAAGCGACTTACAGTCATGCGTGCATACATTTTTGTGTATGGGTGGTCCCGGGGATTGAACCCACTACCTTGGCGTTACAAGCGCCGTGCTCTACCAGCTGAGCTACAGAGGACCACTGTAACACCTATCTTGTGCAGCGTAACTTGCTTTCAACACGAGGTGGATAGTGTTTTTGCAGTGTGTTATTATATGTGGATATTTAGGCGTCTAGGAGCCTCACTGTCAGATACATTCCATGTCAAGAGATCAATTCCAACACATTTCACCCAATTCCCATTAGGCTATCTGCAACTATATCAGTGCCATTAAGATGCTTTTGGGAAACTGGGCCCATATCTGCTGCTAGCCAATATGATAGAGAATTGTAAAACCTTGTACACTGTAAATAGTACTTAATTTTTCATAAATAAAATGTATAAAACTGCAGTGCCTTGCTATGTTTTCCACTTCATTATTCAAGGAACCTTTTCCTCTCACAGCCCCTGTCATCCTGTATACGGGTTGAAAATGGCAGATTGTCCTTGATAAGTGCGTAAATTGGAACGCGGTGGCTGTACAGTAACATGCTATACCCAAGGTCAGAGCTCAGGTGCGCTGTATGTGTTTTGACAGACAGCTGTTCGACTTGAGCACCGCATATGACAAGATGCCCTCATTCCTCCTGCTAATTGGTATTTTGTGAGTGAGGAAAATGCTGTAAATCGAGGAGTCTGTTCTGAAAGATAAGACGTTGAAGATAAGTACCGCTTTGTCATACAAGCAAACCACACACCCATGAGTCAAATGTTCACTTCACATTTCCATATTTGAAAACTCATGTCGTTTACAGTATCAATTTCAAACTTTACTAAAATGTTTGATCCACAGTTACAAGGATGACATGCGCAGTGGAGACCTGTCATTCAGGGAAGGTGTGAGACCCACCTGTTTAGCATGTTATTCTGGCATTAATTTGTGTCACATATCAGTTTGCAAAGAATGTAAAAAAATATATATCTTGAGTTAATAAAGCCGCATACAAACATGGTCTCTTTCTTGAGTAAGGCAGCTCCAAAATGCAGGTGTTTCAGCATAGTTCAGTGGTGGAGGGTCAGCCAGCTACATCACAGAGCTTAGGCATTGGTAATCTTCTAGTTGCGCCGTGATTGGCTTTGTGTTCTGTCACTCATGGGGAAACTACGTCACCACAGAATCTATTGGGAGAGCTAGGCAGTTCAAGCCCCCTTGGGTGCTGCGATAGATTTACAGTAGAAGAATCACGTCAACAATCTACTGGCAAATCCTTTTAAATCCTTGTCATATAAAGAGAAATTATAGATAAAACGTATCGATGCTCATCGGCAATTGGACATAAACATTACACAAAAAGTTGGAAATCGCAAATTCAACAATGAGTGGTTTGCAAGGAATCAGTGGCAAACTGTGAAGTCACAAAGCAATCACTATTTTGCTTCCCCAGCCTGCTATTCGTTGGAGAGGGTGTGTGGTCCAAGTCTGGGTTTAAGGATTTAAAACATCTGTCTGAAAGGGTCTCTTTTCCAAGCTTAGAAGGATAAACATTCCCATGCAACACCATGGGCCAGAAAAGGTTGAACACATTGGCCATGCTGTCAATCCAGCCTGACTTCATCCAGAGAATGCCAGACTTTGATGACAAAGTTTGCTCACAAGAAGGACCGCCACGCCACCTTCCTGTTCAAGTGAGCACAGCACAACAATCAATGGTGAGTCCAAAAATATGTTGTTTATGCTGCTGTGTAAATGATGTAATATGCCAGGGAGATATGTATAATGTAGCTAAGAAAGTAATACTAAGTGTATGTTGTGTAATAAGCTGTTAGTATCCCATGTATCTCATCCTAAGAAGTTGGTCCCTCTCCCAGAATTTAGCCTACTGTTCTGACTTGGTGCACATGTAGCCTATAGCCTGTTATAGAGAAATGTGTTCATTGAATATTGTAAGAGCTTTGATTGTCTGCTTATATGCCCCCGTTGTTTATCCTACGGTTCTGACTTGGTGTACAGGGAGAATACTGTAAGAACGGCCCATGTTCTGAATTATGTGGCTGTCCATTTCAAAAGTGCTGAACAAATAGGCATATCCGTCTAACCTCACTCATTGTCTTAATCAAAATTACGGCTTTCCACTTATCCGCTTAATCGGTCCCTTATGCCATAGTTTGTACGTCTCAATTGTTATATTGCTTATATACTGTAGGTAGAGCACAGCGTTTGCAACGGCAGGGTTGTGGGTTCGATTCCCACGGGGGGCCAGTATGAAAAAATATAATGTATGCACTCACTAACTGTAAGTCGCTCTGGATAAGAGCGTCTGTTAAAATGACTAAAATGTAAAATGTAGGTCTCTCATTAGTATTTTAGGCAATGATGCATTTTATTGTTGGAATGATGCGTTTCATTGTTTTGATTACTTTGTGTATTATAATTAGCTTGTGCTTTTCTCCACGAGGAGGCGATACTATATAATGTTGTTGGGTCTGTAACCATGTTTGCCAGTGACAGTCTCTTCCCATAAAAAAAAAAAAAAACTTCTACAGTAATTGACCCATGTAATTCCAGTTAATATTGTGAGGGTTGTTTTGTTTGCTCAATGAGCTGTCTAATTTAGTATGTCTATAAATGTGGATCCTAGTGATTGTATTTTCCTTCCTTTTTAGACCACATAGGCCTAATAAAATATTTCAAATGGTAGGCTAACCTTGTCTCTCTCTCTCTCTGTGTGGTGACTTAAAGAAGAGTAAAGTTAAAGTTACATCTTGCTGAATGTATCAGAACTAACATATCTGAATTTCTGTCAGTGTCCATTTTGAAAGTGCTGAATGAATAGGCCTACCTAGTCACAGGTAGTTTGCTTATATTTATAGCTAAGTGTCAATAAGAACAAACATTATTAATTTACTGAACATAAATGTAATAATGTTTTTGTATGGTTCAAAAGTCAAAACTAATGTCGGCATGAGTTATTATTGAAGGAGAATGTGGTTCTTATTGAGTTACACAAATCCACAAGGAGTCAGTAGAAACCATATGTATTTATGCAAGTCAGCCATATCAGCTATGGTTTTAAAAAAGTCAGTAAATGAGGCTGAATTAACTGTTTCGCTGCCAGACGAGGCTCCGCTGATAGCCAGGTGTAGCATTGGTAAGGATTCACTTCATGGTGCTGAAAGGAATGCTCTGCTGTTGGGACAGTTTTATGTAGGCCCTAACAGTTTGTGGGCAGCGTTTGTCACTGTTATAGTGCAATGAATGTATTGTTTAGTTTTGTGTTATGGGTTTGCTAGCATGCATCAAAAAAATGTGGTTGAGTTTGCCCCACCAAGATTTACATGCTAAAATCGCCACTGGACATGCGTTATACACTACCAGTCAAAGTTTTAGAACACCTACTCATTCAAGGGTTTTTCTTTATTTGTATTATTTTCTATGTTGTAGAATAATAGTGAAGACATCAAAACTATGAAATAACACATATGGAATCATGTAGTAACCAAAAAAGTGTTAATCAAATCAAAATATATTTTATATTTTATATTCTTCAAATAGCCACCCTTTGCCTTGATGACAGCTTTGCACAACTTTAAATGAACTTACTTCACAGAGAAAAAAACTAAACAAACTAAATGTAGTAAATATACTAAACATGTATTCTAACAGATACAAATAAATCCAATACAACTTGAAATCATCAGCATGGTAATGAAGAAAATAGCAGAAACTGGATATTTCCCAAATAATTTTTTTATTTTATATTTTTATATAGCTACAACATTTACATGAGAGAAATGTGAACACTATGGGGATGTTGATCTTCGGATGTTTAAAGGGACATCTACAGAATGATTTACATGAGCCAAGTGATAACTGAGCAATAGATTAACCAATGGAAGTTGAAAAAATAATTAACAACATTTAAATAATTAAAACAAACTAAATCAAACATAGGTGAGAACTATTGCCTTTTTGAGTGAACTTTGGAGATGTGGAAGTCCTTTGTCCAAAGCTTGTTGAATGCATGCACTGAAACAATCAGAAAAAAATGCTGGGTTAAAAATAACCCAATTTGGGTAATTTCAACAACCCAGCTCTGGGTCAATATTGGCCAAACACAGCATTGG